TTTCTAAGGTTAGACTGTTGAAGAATTACCATAATGGTCAATAGATTACATACGATTCCTACAGCAGAAAATGTCGAGCCTAAGTATTTTAGTGAAAAAAAAATCCTCCGCACGGAATAAAGAGGATTCATTTGCAATGGAAGTTATCGAATATTCTTGAACACTAGAATTTGAGGGTGAGCTCATAGAACATAAATTTTGGAGAATATTTCCTAGCGAGAAATAACCTTTAACTAGTGAATGCATTCAAATAACTGGGAACTGTTTATCAAACACGTATTGAGTCTTTCTGATATGTGTAAAATTCCGAATATCCCTTGGAGATGCGTAATGAGTTTTGATTTATCATCCCTTTTTATTTGTTCACCGACCTCTTTTGGAAACAAAGTTAAACTGGAAAGCAACACTTGTGTTATATCATCTGATATCATAGCATTTGTTGTAGTCTTCTTTGATGAAACGTATGCTCGTCCCATCGTCCCATCAGGATTGGTGCATAATTGTAACGAGAACGCTAGTACGACGAAACAAACACACAATGCTTCGTTCGGACTGTCTGTTCAACAAAGATAAGAAAACATTAAAAGTAAAGAAACTATACAGGCTATCCAAAATAAGAACATTTTAAGTTCCGTCTTTATCTAGCATTATCAGTACCTATAGGTGCATTGATTTACCTTTCCATAGCTAATTACGTTATTTTATGTTGCTTAGCTCTGTACTCTCATTTAGATAAATAAAAAAATATTTTCTATAAGGGCAATTCATATTTTTTGGTTGTGATTAGACAGCATAGAAAAAAAATACACTTAGCAGGTCCCTAAGTTAAGCATGTGCATTGCAAGTTAAATATACATGTATGTATTATTTTTGTGAACAACGGATGAAGGTTTCACAAGTGAATTTCGTTTATCAAGAAAATACAAAGCACTCAATAAATCATACAATGTGATGATTATAAGATGCTGAAGGACCGATTGTTACAAAATAATATTTTGTAGGCTGTTGCCTTTTCTTTTTACTCAAGAAAAGTTTTTTTTGGCTAGAAGGGCCAACTAAGTGCATTGTTTAGCTCAAGCCCTTTGAAAGATGATTCAACAGCTAATTAAATATTGAAATACATTTTTTCAGTGCAATATGAGTATATCAAAAGTTTTCGAAATCTTTGTTAATTAAAAAAAAAAAAAACTTTTTTCAATCAGGACTTTAAGCGTTCATATAAATTGTTGTTTCTGCATATCACTTTTTAAACTGCATATCACTTATCTTTAAAATGAAACTTGTTATCAGTTAATTTCCATTTCAAGATTCCTCCTAAAACTTTCTGATCTCAATAAAAAATTCTTTTGCTAAGACACCTTAGAGCTGGTCAGTGCGGGAATGACATTTTGATTTTTTAAATGGCTTAAATATAAAGAAATCTTAAGTTTTTTTTATGCACATACTCAGGTACATACGTATGTATGTGACCTCGTGTCATTTTCTATATAGTTTTATGCAAAATTTTGTACATATTTTAAACATTGTAACAAATTCTAACGAAATTCTCCCACTTAACTTGGCAAACATCATTCAGGGTACCTTTTTGAATATACATCTATGAGAAGTGTTGCTGATTTCTGAAAAAAAGAGTTTGTGTTATTTATCCTTTAAAAAGAAGTTTATTTCTGTTTGGTGATACAGAGATTTGTTTGTCTTTCGTTATGTCTTCTTTCAGAAAATAAGAATAATATGTTCTAAAAAAATGGAATCGACATATATCATGCAATAAAAAGTATCGTCAAGTGAATCAAATGTTTTCATTTGCGTTAAAGCGTGAAGACTTCTACCCTGCAAATTTCAACTACCCTGCAAATTTCAAAAGAAGTAAATTATCTAGGGGGGGGGGAAAGTTAAATTATCACGGGGGACTGTTTAATTTGTTTTCCTTTTACTATAAAAAAAATGATGGATAAATTCTCTTCTGAAATCCAAACATGCAAGCTCAATTACCTGAAAATTACATCATAATATTCAGTTAAAAAAAATCAACACCGTTGTACAAAATGTATCGTTACTGCATGAAGGACCCGTCTATACATACTTTAATAATTGAGATAAATTTGTTATTTAGCAACAGGTGCTGTATCGTTCTTAGTTCCAATCTTCGGTTGGACTCTTTCCAGTATCTTATGTAACATTTTATCCGAATTACCTGAAAATGAAAGACAGGGAGAAGGTAGGAACATAATTTTACAATCGATATAATTTGTTGTCTTATATTTCATGAATTTCGAAAAACTTCCTTTGAAGAATTTAGTTTCACAGACTTTGACTCTACATAAGGAGTTTTGGAAGTCTTAAGATAGCGATTCAATAAGTCTACAGTGTGTTTTCTCAGTCTATTTGCTCTTTAAGATAACATTTTATACCATAACCATGAAACTTATTTGTTGACAATTTGTCATAAATTGCTAAAACGGAGTTTTGAAATATAAAAGAAAATTACTAATACCTTTATATGCATTTTGGAGAAGAAAAATGTAGGGGAGGTCCAAGTAATTTCTTGATTTATTTTTTTTTTCGGGAAAAATGCATAAATAGTTTATTTGAAAAAAAAAACGTGATTTTTTTTTTATGTCATATAATTTTTGTTGTACAATTTACCCTTTCAGGTGTGTTGCACGGAGCCCCATTTAATACCAGTATGATCAGAAGCTTTCAAACTAACCGCTCTAAAGGACACTGGAAAATTTACCAAATCATATGTTTGATAATACAAATTGTGATAATTCGATCTCCTCTACAACAGAATGTTTACGTACACTTTCTGCTGAAGTCATACATTCCTTTATGTCAAATGTTAGTTCAAACTTTACTCTTTATGATGAGCCGCTGGAAAGACGAGTCTTCAGTTTAAATTGTATTCGATCAATTTTACTCATAGTTGGGTGCATATGTAATCTTTGTACTATCCATATAATAAGTTTGAAGCCTCAACTTAGAAAGCTCTTTTACATTTTATTTTTGTCTCTGTCTGTCCTGTTATATTTAGTAGCACGATTTATGTTATTGTATTCAAATGATGAGACAAAATCGCTTTGCCAGATTTATATTCTTGACGATTCAATCTTGTTTCTTTCACTATAGATTTGAATTGTATTTTTCTACTTCGTCGTTTAACAGTTGCACGCGTGTCCCAGGCAACAGGACATCCCAGACTGCGCATGACAGTAATCGTCATCATCATAGCGACCTTGAACACGATAGACTCAGTGGTTGATATAGTGTGGAATATTTATGGGAACACAATGTCAGTCTTTTATTCTAAACAAGAAATGATGTAGTTTAATGAGAATCTTCCATTACTTTTAACAGTATATTTCTCAGGAAATTTTGTTCACTCCATTAACCCTTTCCTTTACTTTTTCACATTTTCTCTAGTTATTAAAAGTATTTTGTCATGCAAGCAACATTGCGCAATTAGAAGGCAGTGAAGCGGTACTTTTTTGGCAAATTAAGCTACATTTAATGTATCAGTCCATTAATAATTAACAGGTTATACTTTTTCCTCAAAGACATTTTCTTTTTTTTTTTGTCCTGTAACAGATTTCTACATTCCATGAAATAAGAGTTCCTATTCTAAAGACAAAAAAAAAAAAAAAAAAAAAAAAAAAAAAAAAAAAAAATTTTGATGGAAGAGCCAAGGCTCAAGAAATCTATGCAGGTGGCTTGCTTAGTGCCGTTTACTGACTAATAAACAGCAATGGTTTTCAAAGAAACAAGAAAAGAAAAATCATTGGATATTCATATTCTTTGTCAAAATAATTGTTCCTCTCCATGGACAACAAGACACCTCTCTTTTATTGTGGCAAATGTAATTACAATCACTATTTTCTTTCTTAGAAGAATCCCGTTTTGAAAGGATAAGCAATACTGAGAATCGCATAGAGATTTTTCTTATTTACCTTAGATAATCATGCCTAAGTTCAGCAGTTTCTTGATCCGCTCAACAGACACCCTCCAATGACTATCAGTAATTTTTCAGTAATTTGGACGGGTAACATTATTACTCATTTCTGATTTCTCCTTTGAAAGTCAATATCGTTCTTTCCATGTAAAATATAGATTAATATTGATAGATTGTCTGTTGCATAACGTCCCTTGCTTTATTTTTTTATTCATTTAGGATGTTCCCATATACTGGAAAAGGACTTCCATTCTACTTGAAACTCTAGGCTACAAAGGAGTGTAGGTTCTTAATCGTTCTGAATTAGAAATTGGTTTTAAAGTTTTATATGATATATACCTGGGGCGCCATTGTCGAAGGAACATTCACTACCTGTGCGTCTTAGATTTGAGCGGTGCCAGGAACGAGAATCGATCTGGTAACCCGATCATGATGTGAATTAGATTGAACTAGAGGATTTATGGCGCTTTTTCGTGTAGAACAAATGATTTACAATACACACTTGAAATCAAATATGCTTGCTAGCTTTTTCCATTTATTTACTTTTACTAACATGTTCTTAAACTTGGTAGGTCTCAGAATTTTTCAAACGCAACTCAGTCATTTTTTTCAAGAGAAGGATAAATCTAATAAGCACAGGCGTTTCAATTGCTTTCTTGGAACGGAAAGGTTTTATAATTAATAGCTGAATATTCTGATTTCTTTGAATGCAGATCGATGATTTTTTTTTTGAAAAATGTGTGCTTACAAGCTTTTTTAAATTAACTTTTGAGTTGGTCATTATTTTCTGGTATAAAAGATTTCTCTAAGCTCAGACTTAATCAAGGACAGTTAATTCCTATTTTCTTACCAAACTTTTTGTTAAAAATAAAATACAAAACCTTCGGTTGAAACCTGAACTTCTACCAAGATTAAATCCACAGGATAGGAACTTCCTGTTGCACTGTCTGAAGGTCTTATCGGATGTTTTTGATTGTTTTCAAGTGCAACATGACCGAGCTTTACTTAAATACTTTATTCTATATAATAGGGAAAATAACAAATCACCAACTGCATGTACCTTTAATTTTTATTACCTTTATGATTTTAACACTGACAGATCTCGGAAACTAGTTTTAATAAATCTCTAAAAATTATTTTACAATGCATGTTTCTAAATGTTCGGGAAAGTAGTTTTGATTAGATATAGTCAGTGTGCCTAGATCCCTTGTATCCTTGTTTATGTTTGTCTTTACGCAATACGGGGTTAATATCGATGAAGTCAGCCGCTGATGAAGAAAATGCCCCAAAACCCGCTGGACTGTCTAGAAATCTTTCTGAACGAATACCACCCAAAGAATCAGAATAGGGCCCGATATCGTGATACTGATTGTTGTCAGAATGATGTCTGCTGTGGTAATATTTGTTGTTGTCATAATATTTTCCGTTGTCGTTATGATGCTTATGATATGTTCCCCTCCTTGATGCAGAACGAGATGAGAGAACCGAGGGTAAGGTGAACCTGCTGACATCCCCAGGAAAGGCATCAAAACGATCAGAAAAGAATTCAGCACCAAGATTTCGTGAATTGTGTCTATCATCAAAAGGAAAGATGTCTAGACTCTCATCAAAGTAAGGCCCCCTTCCTAAACGTCCATTAAATGTGTCTACCCCATCAAAGTTGAATCTGGAGAATCCTCTAGAACCAGCATGTCCGGACCTGTGATACTTTCCGTGATATTTTAAACGCCTGCGTCGATTCCGTCCAAATGACAATTGCGATGAGCCTACATCTAAAAAGTTCCCTCCTGGTGCAATGACGTCAAAGGAATCTGTGGCCAATCCAAGTGAAGCATGGCGTCCTGAGTCTAAAGCTGAAAGGGAATTTCTCAAACTTCCTACTCTCAAGCCATTTGGAAAGGGATCATTTCTCCGATTTTTTTCGTAGTGACCATAATAAGATTTTTTGGAGTCGTATCCCGACACCGCAGACAGTAAAGCAAGGGTAACAGCTAATGTGAAAGGCATGCGGTACATTTTGTCACCTGGTAATGATAAGACAAAATCATTTTAAATTGCATGTGAGAGATTAATAAAAAAATCCTCTTTTAAAAAAGTCTTCGAGATTCACTTATAAAGCGAATGGAATATATTCAACCCCTTAAGAAAAAAAAAATACGATACAAATAAATATATTTAAGACGACCAAGACTGCTTGTTTTAAATGTATCTATTGAACAGTGTCAAGTTTACTAATGGTTGAAGAAAAGAAATCTCATTTTATGAGAAAAATTACGTTTATATGATTTTCAGACCAAAGCTACACTGCTTTTCGGGATATCAATATTTCAAACAACAGTAATCAGTCCTGACGTCATTCAAATTAAAGCTTAGTCAGTATTATGATATTTTGATTTCTAACATTTGTATTTGTTTTACTCTCTTATCTCATAAAAATGGGGAAGTTCCACATGTTTGCTTTATTCAGCTAAAAAATATCGTTGATGCATAGGTTTACATTAAATAATATGAAAATATCAATACAACAAGGATAGGGTAATTTTCTTTTTTTTTCCTAATGGTATAGAACTACGAGCTCGTACGACAATGCTTTAGCTACAGAAATTCGGACTACTGTACAATGATCCAATAGATTTAAATGGACACACAATCCGTTGCAAATTGCATCACGACATGGCGGCGCATGCTACGTTCAAGAAGTAGCAGCCCCTCCCCCCCCCGCCCCCCTCCCCCCAAAAAAAGCCTGCAATGACCATGATTTTTGAAAGTTACAGAAAGATGATTCAAAACGTCAAAAAAAAAAACAAAAAAACAAAAAAAAAACAGTAAAAATAGGACTTTTCAGACTTTTGTTTATCAGATTTATGTGCATTTAATTATTCAATTCTCGAAAAAATTTCATCATTAGAGAATGAAAAAAAGAAGTTTTTGTTTATCTTATTGCAATTTAAGTTTAGTAATGCTACACAAGTAATATTAAATCATTTATATGGAAAAACCTTTTGTTGTCAATAGACGTGGAGCTTGCAGAGTGTCTGCTGACAATGCAAAATTAAGGAAATGAGAGTTGTAGAAAAGTCGGAAACTAACGGTCAACTTTATCGAGTTTTTTCTTCCTTTAATGTTTATTTTTTCAAACAACCTGTTAATTATTACTACACGGAACAGTAAAAAATTAGCACAACGTAAGTGATAATAGGTATTATTTACATTTTTAAGAAAAAAACAAAGAATCACTGCAAGGGAATATTAAAACAGCGGCATTGGGAGAATATGTGTTTGGCATTTTTCATGTGAACAGATCTTTGGAATTTTAGAGACTTCTTATCTAAATTGGAGTGTGATTTACTCAATCGATATAAGAAATGAAGATTCTAGTATTTTAGTTACGACATGTATTCAAATTAACTTACCGTATTCCTTTCTTGGGGCTGTTTGATGATAATGTGCAATATCCAAGATATAATGTTATTTATATAGTGATGTGTAACCACGGAACAGTTCTTCCCATTGGATAAGTAACTAGAAAATTGCACTTATGAAACTTTGAAATAAGGATCTAAATGAAGCAACTTAAAACATATCGATCATATTAAATTAATTGGTTATCATGAATTGACAGATCAGTTTTCCTCATAATTTTCATGATACAGGATTACAGAATATAGACACTATATATTATTGCTGACTCTTCTCTTATTACGACTTTCAAATTATAAAAAAGCGTGTGTCGCAGACATCTGTCTCAAATAAAACCAATAAACAAAACAAAGAAAACTAGACAATGCCATTTACATCTCCCTTAATTATATTTTTTTTTTATTAATTTTATTTTTATTGACAAATAATTTTTTGCAATTCTCATCAATGAAAAAAAAATGATCATAGATAAAACTTTTATTTTTGAACTTCTCTGAACTCTGCTTTATTATTATTCTTCAATTCAACGAAAAATAATCTTCATAAGGAAATAAAAACGATGAAAATCATCATCTTGATTGAATCGGGAACGCCTTCTACTTAACCTTTTATTCTCAATCGGATTGACATTACAGAGATATACTAGTAAATCAGCCCCCCTACATATCAAATGCAAGCATTGCTAAAAAAATAATAATAATTTAAAAAAAAAAAGAAAAGAAAAAGAAAAAAAACTTGCTTAATTTAAAAAAAAAAAATGTACAATTGGTTTATTAAAAAAATCACAGATATATACGTTGTAGAAGATCCATGTCTAAACAAGAAAATATCATGTCTTAATATACTCTTCAGATTTCATTCAATTCAAAGTTTTCCTAAATTCCTTATTTAAATGAACTTGTTCAGAGAAATGTTATTGTATACATGTATATTTATAGATTTATGACTTGAGCCCTGATCAATAATTGAGCCTTTAATTAAGCAAGTCAAATGACGAATTTCTTAAGCACATTGACAATCTTTAATTTAACTGTTTGAAATAGATTAAGGTCGACATTTGAATTCCGTCATAAGAATGTGAGTTAGACAAGCAAATTCAAAGAATTGTGGTCCACCACCTTCGGTGTCTTAGTTGATGAGATGCCATTATTTATTGCATATTGTAACTGCTTTGTCTGTGTGTCCTGTCCTGTCTGTGTGTCCCGTCTTGTCTGTGCATTGTTACAACGCACTTTGAAAAATTACGCACTTTGACAATTTTTTTTCAAAGTGCGTTTAATTTGGGACAAAGTTAACGCACTTTGAAAAAAAAAAAATCTTTTCAAAGTACGTTAATATCGACAATATTAACGCACTTTGAAAAAAATGTGCACGGATTGGTCAATATTCTAGCAAATGCCTATATTATGTCTATCTTCGCGAAGAAGTTTTTTTTGGAGGAGGGGGGGGGGGGAGAGGCTAAGCAGCCCTCGCCCCCCCCCCCCCACCACCACCACCACCACGACGCCTATGGTATGATGGCAATTAACATTAATGGACTTTCAATTGTAAAAGAACTTAAATTCAATGTAAAAGGACTTTCTTATACCTTTTACTGTACGTAGATTTTTCCATTTTTTTTCAAATATGACCTGTATGACTACATGTACGAGAAATGCTACAAAATGGGGTCCAAGTTTGTAATCTCATTAAAGATAAGCATAATATGATGTTTTTTAATAGTGATTTGATAAGCATGAAAAAAAAAATATTCCCACAAAATATGATGGCTTTTTTTTAAACAGTTATTTGATTAGTATTAAGAGGTATGAAAAATTAATTATTTATGCATATTATATAATTTCGTTTTGTATTGTATTTGATTTTGTATACATGTAGTTAATTTGGCCAAAATACAGTTAGTTGGCTTTTGTTGCTTAGATCAGCGATATGTTCCCTGAGCCTCTCTTCTTAAATATAACAGGGTGCGTTATTTTTTCTTTTTCAGGGAAGTTTATCTGAATTTTTTCATCTATTTTCATATATATTCCTAATTTTTTTGAGAGAAAGTATGTCCATTGTATACCAGTTATGTAAATACATATATTTTGGAAGGAAGGATAAAGAGTTGGGCTAAGTGACCTTCTACCTGTCTTGTCCTCGTTCTCGATGAGGGTAGATCAATTCATCAGTTTTTCGAAGAAATATAACAAAATGATGCAATATATTACTAAAATCTTAGTCCAAAAATTTTGTTTTATACATATTTTTTCAAAGTGCGTTAAGTTTCTCCATTTTAAGATGTTGATGTACACTCTTAACGAACTTTGAAAAAAAAATTCAAAGTGTGTTGATTTTGTCCCAAATTTACCGCACTTTGAAAAATTTGTTCAAAGTGCGTAATTTTTTTTAAAAGTGCGTTGCCACAGTGCATCATACAAAAAAGACATAAATTATTTCGTGTGCCCTGTATTGTCTGTGCTTCATACAAAAAGACATACATTATTGAATTAATAACAGTTATGACAAAGATTATATCTTCTCAAACTACATCAAACTTCAACATCAAGGTCATGAGGTCAAATATTATAATACAATCCGAAAGGTCTTGACACAATTAATGCACACGTGAAAAAAATATCAAAAACCATAGTATACAATCGGAAAGGTCTTGAAACAGGTAATGCATAAGTCAATAAATGTCGTATCTTCTCTCAATCAAAAGTTATCAGCAATGTTAATATTTTTTGAAAATTGGGTTAAATATGAAGGTCAACGTCATGGGTAAAAAAAAACATTTGGAAATGCTTGTCACAGATAATACACGTGTCAAAATGAATGCCCTATCTTCGATTCTTCAAAAGTTAGAAAAATGATAAAATGGTTGAAAATTAGGTCAATCTTGAAGGTCAAGATCACAGGGTCAAATATCATAGCGCATTCGGAAGCATTTTACACAGGTAATGCACTTGTCAAATATGAAGGCCCTATCATGTGTCATTTACAAGTTACCAAAGTTAATTTTTTTGAAAATTAGGTCAAACATGAAAGTCAAGGTCAAGGGGTAAAGAATCATAGCATGGTCGCAAACACCTTGTCACAGGTAATGTGCATGTCAGATATGAAAGCCCTATCTTTTCTCAATCAAAAGTTATATGCAAATATAAAATTTTGAAAAGTATTTTGCATGGTTTTGATTATATCTGACCATAAACATTTGCATCTTGTGTTGTTTTTCTTACTGTTACAAAATGATACAGTTCTATCCTTTTTTTTTTTTTTTGTTAATATTAAAAGTGTAGTAATGCATCATATACTTTATTAAATCATTTCATTAGTGGTACATTTTTTCCCGGTAAAAGAAGAAAGAAATATAACTGTACTTCTGTTGCTGGATGCGGTCTTTAAAAAAAGAAAACCATGTGATATTCTAACAAAAAAAGCAGTGCGTTAGGCCAACATTAACATAATGTTTGCTTGCCCTCTCCCGACTCAGGCTGATAGAGTTGAGTCAGAAGGTAGGTGAAAATTTTTTTTCAAAGAAAATTTAAAAATCAATGCTGAATTTTCAAAATCTATTTTCCGGAATGCATTAAAGAAAATTCCTTCTTGGGTAAAAAAAAGTTTTGAGTCGGCCATTTTTAGCCAGTCATTCGGGAGAGGGCAACCAAAAATTTTTTAAAGATGGCCTTATTGTGCAGTCTAATATGAATTTGATATATAGGACACTAAATATTATTATTATTATTATCATTTATATATGGATATATGTATGTATGTATATATATATATATATATATATATATATATATATATATATATATATATATATATATATATATATATATATATATATATTTGATATTTTTCATTTGATTCTGTGATGATGAATTATTGTTCTTCCTATTATCTGTAAAATTTTATTCATATCATTGTCAGACACAAAGAAAAAAATACATTTCCGAAAAAAATAAGCAGCGCCATGTAACATACTGTTTTCCACTTGATCTTAATGCTATAGTCGTCGATAAAAACCAATGTTTGGAAGTTAAAATTGTAAAATTAAGAGCAGAGGTTCAAAATTCATATAGAAGTGAATTTTAAAACAGATATAACGGAAAAAATATCTCTCCTCTTAATATTTGATGTCTTTTCAAAAGAATGATCCATTTTTTTTACTTTTATTTATTTCATCAGATTATCTTTAAATATACATTAACTTGGATCGAAAAAATTCTGGTATTTATATAATAGTCAAAATACCTCTTACAAACAAAACGTATGCTTAATGAAGAGCTGCTTGTTCGATCTAGCATTAAAAAAAAAAATCCACGAAAGTTTTATTTTATTGTTCTTCACCATGGATAGAAATGGATAGAATAACAGTCTGTGACAATTTTTGTTATATATGGCATTGCTGTGTTATTACTGTGTCTACTTATTGTTTGCATTGATACTTTTCACTTATTTAATCTTGCTTTACATTAACCTAATGTAATTATATTGTTTATCTAAAAATAAACATATTTCAATTTCAAATTATCCCTTAATTTGGAGTAGAACGTGACAGTATGACACTATATTTGATTGCAGAATGAAGAATAATAATGATGTACTTAAAACTGACATTTTTTTATATCAATGAAAAGTCTTATTGCAGGGCTTCAAACTTTGACATCTCTGACATTAAACAGGAAATACATGCATTCATCAGGGCTTTTTATCTACATATCATTAAGCGTTTCATTCAAATATAGAATATCAGGCATATTTCAAGGTTAACGGTGGCAAGTAATTGCATCGTTGTACGGGATCATGTCAATAATGTCAATCCTTTTTCTAAATAGTTTAGTACTAGCTACTTTTCTTGTCTTTTTTAACACAACGTTTCCTTCCCGATAAATTTCATAGATTAAATACATTTATTAAACTAAATATACATGTTGATACCCTCAGCCGTCATTGGTGTCTTTACATATAAGACGAAAATATTAAAACCGTTTTAAATAAGCTATACATGTAAAGGATTATATATTTTTGCTCATGAAGCAAAATTCGCGT